ATTGCAGAAAATTTGTAGATGTCCATGTGAGAGATAATGAAATTTGCAGTAGATATGGAAAGAAATGTATAGCTCCTAATGAACTTTCAGGGTAGATCAATAGAAACATAATCATAGGCATGTTCTTGAACAAACAGTTGTCATTCCTTATCTCTATCTACTCATTAACTGTCCATTTACATGTGCCAAACCTGTAAACTAGATTCTGTATATGCGATAGAAAATACTTTCATTATAGTTATAAATGGTATTAAACTTATTAAAAATAGATATTTTCAAATATTTTCACTCTTAACTCATTTCTTGTTAGCATTTGATACTTTTGACCACTTTCATCTTCTTTGAAACATGCAAATGCCTTTAATTTTTATAACACAACTCTCTGGATTCCTGTATTTATCTGATTATTTATATTTATTCTCCTTCAGGAACTTTTGCTTCTCTCTAACCACATAAGTTTTTTATTCAATAGCAAATCCAAATTTGGTGTTTTATATTTCTTTTTCTGTACTGACTAAGAGCTATCTCTGCAGAACTATAACCTACAGTCAGTCCTTTCTTCTGAGTTTTAGATCCATATTTCCACTGGACTATCAGAGATATGTATTTCTTGGCATATAAGAAAACAAAATATTCTGCAAAATCTTCCAATGAAAATAACTAGAGAATTCTAGTTATTCTAGAGAATATTTTTAAAAGCAATAATACATGTATTAAAAATAAATCTTGTCAAATTTAATGAAAGCAATACAGTGAGCTACTTTGCCCACAGGGAATTTGCTAAACATGGGAAAATTTGAGCTTAAATTTTGTTGGCATCTCTGGGCAAGGGGTACAGAACTCCAAACTGAAAGTATTCACCGGGGGAGAGGTCTATTGGTATACCCTTCCTCCAAGAAGTTGGAATTTAAAGAACTATATGCACAGGGTAAGAGTAAATCAGACGTAAACTCAGTCTACACATTCCTACTCCCAAAGGAGTGCAAAAACTTGTCATTTGGGGGTGATCAGGTTGAGATGATGTTAGAATCCATGACTGAAGTTATAGTCCCACGCTGGCTCTTATATGGACTTTTAACTAAAATTCGGGTCACTTGGTGGTTCAAATAAGCCTCAAGCCATGCACTTAGATAAATGTAGTCCTTGAGAGTGATGCCCATAGTTGCCCGTGAATACAAATCTTCTTTGGAGGAAGAAACTATCATTTTTCAGGACCAAAATATCCCACAAATATTTTTAAAGATAATAAACAGCACAAACTCAAAATCAGTCAGGAACACACACAAAAAAGGTAATCTTAGAGGAAACCAGCAGAAAAATACCCTCAAAACTTCATTTGGAATTATCAGTTTAAAACAATTACTTTGTTTAAAGAAATAAAAGACAAGCTTGACTACATTTTCAGATAATGAAGAAATATAAAAAATGGAATAGCAAGTATAAAAAAGAACACAGAAAATTTATATATTAAAACTATGCTATTGGAATTAAAAACACAATGAATGTTTAGCAGATTAAGCAGAATTAAAGACTTAATGAACTGAATTAGATCAGAAGAATGTATTCATAATGCAGTACAGAGAAACAACCTCCAGAAAATCTGGTAGACAGTTTAAAAGATATGGGAGACAGAATGAAAAGGATCATCAAATAAGGTTATAAAAAAGGGAAGAGAGGCATTATTTGAAGAGCCTATGATGAGAATTTTCCAAATTTCCCCAGATAAAAGACACAAAATTTAAATCAATGGATTTAAGAAGCCTGACAAATACCAAACCTATAAGTAGAAAGACACCCATACCTAAAAACATATTGAAGCTGAGGAACACCAAAGACAAAGAGATTTGGAAAGTATCTGGAGGAAAAAAAGACATTCACTTCAAAATGTGAGACTTTGAGCTCACCTATCTCCACCAACAATGGCCATCTAAAGACAGAGGAATTATATAATGATGTGCTTGAAATAAACTGCCAACCTATAACCCTGTGTACAAGAAAAATATTTTTTAATGAGAATAAAATATATATATTTTTAACTTTGATACATGTATTTCCTTTCCCATATCACTAATCATAGATTATTATCTCATGATTATGAGTGGCTAAGTCTTACCTTTCTCATGAAAATATATCACCATCAAGTGACTATAGTATGCTATGGAGGACTTCAATCTTTGATGATAGCGTTAAGAGCTCTTGGTTTCATGGCTCCACAAGCTAAAATATATTTTTTAGAAAATTACTATCGGAAAGTTCACTAAAGATACATAGAGAGTTCCAAATAATGAGTTTAAACACAAGGGAAGTGATCACTGACGGAAGGTATATAATGAAAGAAGAAATGAAAGGCAAGTAAACTGGCATATATCAATAATTTTTTTAAAAAATAGTGCAAGTATAAAATGATAATGTACAATATATTTCTTTTAAATACATGTTAGGGTGAGAATCAAAGGAATAAATTTTTCTTGGATTATTTTGTTCAATAAGGTTAGGGTATTGATTGATGTTTTTGGATAACTTGAGTGTGCATGTTGCAAGCTTGAAGACAATCAAAATAAGAGTAATACTCAACTAGTAGCAAGAAAATGGTTAGAATAATAATGTAATACATCAATCTAAAAGAAGGCAATAGAAAACAACAGAAAACAAATAGAAAATACAAAATAAGAAGGTATAGTAAATTTAGTACAAAATTAAATGAAATATAGAAGTATAAAATAAGCAGTTACAGTAAATGCAAATGAATAAAGTGCTAAGTGTTCTGTGTAATATAAAAAGATTGTCAGACTCTTTGAAAAAATAGAACATAAACACATGCTGTTTAAAAGAGATGCTTGTAAAATATAAGGATACTGAAAGTATAAGAATAAAATGTAACATGCAAATACCAACTGAATGAATGCCAGTGTAGCTATAATAATACTAGACAAAATAGATTTTTAAAAAATAAAGTGTAAGTAGAGATAAAAGATATTATCTCTAAAAGGTTTTACCTGATAAAAGCTTCAATTCATGAACAACACAAAGCAATTTAAAATTTATATGTACATAATAGCATAGCCTCAAAATAGGCAAAGTAAAAAGGAGATAGAACTACAAGTTTTTTTTTAAACTAATGCACTTTGAGAAGAGTCTCATAGACTCTCCTAAGTTAATCCAACTAGAATAAGTAAGCAAAAAATAAATAAATAAACAACTATATAGATAATATAAACAACTCAACTGTCAGACTTGACCCAATAGATACATACTGTGCTTCAAAACTGCACGCTCTTCCTTCTTTGCAAGCACATACAGGACAGAAATCTATCGTGTATTGTCCCATGCAGCAATTGTCACACATTCAAAGGATTAAAAACATATGAATTATTTTCTCTGGCCACAATTTAGTTAAGCAAAAAATCAAAAGCAAAGAGATAATAAAACATAACACATATATTTTGTAATGAAGAAACACCTTACTACTAGGTATGTGATTCACAGGTGCACAAAATCAATGTCCATCATACTTCAAACTGCCTCTCCTTATCTTCCCCGACTTCATAACTGACACTGTTATCCACCCCCTTGCCTAAGGCATCATGAGGTCCTGCTGACCTCAGCTTTGTTCAGGCTTTCACCAGTGATGTTGTTTTCTCTGCAACTTGTCTCTTTACTCTGTGGTTTCTGCATCTCCTATTTGTTACAATATTTTTCCAAATTAATTTTACAAAGTATTTTTCCAAATTAATTTTACAAAAATTAATTTGAACATACAAATTCTTTATTTGAAGAATTTGAACATACAAAATTTGAATTTACAAATTCTTTATTTAAAAATTTTAAAAGACCTCCCACCGAATACCGGGATTAAATTTAAATGCCATAGCACGACATTCAAGTATCTTCGAATGGAGTCTTTGCCTTTCTTTCCATCTTAATTCCCCTCTGCCCCAAGCTGTCATGGCCTTTTGTTCATCAGCTATGTCAATCTATTTGTATTTCTCTGAACACTCCCTCCTCTCTAGCTTATACCCATCTCTCTGCCTGGAATGCCCTCTCTTACTACTTACGCACCTATCGTTTCCTACATATCCTGGAAGACACAGCTCAAATATCATCTTTCTTGAGATGCAATCAATCCTCATAGTTGTCATTCACATCTGTTTGCTGACTACCCTGAAATTATTTTTCACACTTCAGTTTCGTAATTTAGTTTTTTAAATGGCTGCCTTCTGTGTTAGCCTATGAAGTATGTGATAGTAGGCATCGTTTTTCTTGTACATTTTTAAAAATTCTTGCCACTTTCAAAAAAGTGCCCCAAACCAAAAATTAAGTGAAAGAATAATATTAGAATTACTAGGGTAGTTTATAAATATTTGCTGAAAGAAGTAAGAAGGATCAGTTAATGGCAATGGGAAAGGAGACCAATATTATGAAAAACAAATGGAATAAGGTGCTTCAAGTTTACACATGAATATTATGACTTGAAGCCAAAAAGATTATACCAAATAATTTAGAAAATAAATTTATATAATCGTGTTACCTATTTTATTAAATAATGGGTACCCAGAAACCCAAGGACTGAGCCTCGCCTGGGAATAATTAGAATTCACCGATTTGCACCTAAAGCATTTTCTGTTTCCAATTCTCCTAGTAGTTTGGAGCCCCAGCTTTACTCTGCATTTCATAGACAGAACTCCATTTGGCTACTGACAGTAAACAAATACAGTCGGGACAGTTTTTTTCTGCGAAGCACGCCAGGAAGAAAAAAAGTAATAATTTTTACCTGCAAATGCTTTTGTAAAGCAATGAGGCTCCATTCACTGCCCACACTCAGGACATCACATTTCCCAAAGCAAGCTGAAATTCCTGGGCCTAAATATGTTCTCCACCCACCTCTTATACTCCTTCCCTATTGCTGCCTGTGTTCTCAAAAATAGCTTCTCATAATAAGAATAGCCATTGGCTTATTGCAAGGCACTTCTTTCATCTGTTTTAACATATCTTTTCTGCAGATCCTCCTGCTGTGGAACCAGCATTCCTGGAAATCCGGCAAGGACAGGACCGAAGTGTCACCATGAGCTGCAGAGTACTGAGAGCCTATCCAATACGGGTGCTGACCTATGAGTGGCGCTTGGGCAATAAATTATTACGGACCGGTCAGTTTGACTCTCAGGAGTACACGGAGTATCCAGTGAAGAGTCTTTCCAATGAGAACTATGGCGTTTATAACTGTAGCATCATAAATGAAGCTGGAGCCGGAAGATGCAGCTTTCTCGTTACAGGTAGGATTTCAGATATTTATATGTTAATATATATGACCAAGAAGTCTTAGCCCTATGTCAATTTAAGAATGAGAGTCGAGCAGCTTGACTGTTATAGGTAGAACTTCTACTTGTTTGTTTTCAAGGCAAGTCTTTTTTTTATTTATTTCATCATATTATGGGGGTGCGAATATTGTTAAGGTTACATATATTGCCCTTGCCACCCCCCTCCCCCAGCCGAGTCAGAGCTTCAAGGGTGTCCATCCTCCAGGTGGTGCCCATTGTGTTCATTATGTAAGTCTTTTAATAGTTAAAATAATGCATGTGCCTATAAAAGTACACAGAAGTATATTAGAATTCAAGTGGAGATAGTCATGAAGTTGGCTATTTTTAGTATTTCAGTAATATGAAGAAACAAATTCTGGTGTTAACTAGCTTTATTTAGAGCAAATTTCACATTAATATATTTTTCTCCTTCTGCAATTCTAAAATCGTGTGACAGCAGACACCTGCTCTGCTTTTCTTAATAGTGGAAAGAATGAAAGGGGTTTTTTTCTTATTTATTTATTTATTATCCGTCACCATACAGTGATTTTCCATTTTGCCTTTGGCTTGTCATATGTTCACAAATATTCCAAGGAAAAGCATTACAGTCGTATCTGCCATACAATAAGTTTAGAGGTAATTATTGATAATTTTTGATACCATTGTCTTTCAAATATTTTCTCTTTATTAAGTCTTACATACTTATTTAAATTATAATTTAAATATACTAAATTATTTTATAATCCATGTACTAAAGTGTTATTTTTGAGCTACATTTTAGGCATACATTAAAAGCAAATACTCCTTTTCATTGTTATTTCATCATAGGTAAAGTTACTTGTACTAGTTGAAATATTCATGCTAATAAAAGAAGAAACTGGGTATTGTGCATTATCTTTTATGAAAAGCAATATAAAAGTGATTGAAATGTTCCAAACTTAAAGCAACCTGAGAAGTGTCATGGGCCACCTGCATCAGAAGTCTGTACTGGTTTAAGCCATACTTTGGCAAAGACCCCAAGGGATGCATCAACAATGAGATGTTATGCCCCTTACACAATCTAGTGATGACAAGATGTTTGCAGTAGGTTGATTAGGCAGGAGGCCAGGTGAGCAAATCTGTTGGCAGCACTAGAGATTGAGGAAGATGTACTTTTTACACTTTTTTGAACATGAATAACCAAATCATTTTCAGTAAAAAGTAGCATTTATTTATAAAGTTTACAATTATCTATGTCTTTCAAATTGTTCTAACTGATGTTTCTAAGTATTTAACAATCAGTATGTTAGTTCTAAGTTATTCCAATTGTGTTCCCACTAACCACATGTTCTTCATATTTCTTTCCTTTAACACACTTTTCCTTGACAAGACGTTTCTATTGGAATATTTATGAGTGTCAGGAGATTAAGATTTATTAACAGGTTGGGCAAGGAAATGAATAATGTGCAAAAAGGAGAATTTTTCTATTTATATTTTTTGACTAGTTGCTTAAATAAAATGTGAAAATATCATATAAAAATGTAAGCATAGGTATTTATTAAGCTAGGTTTTAGGTCAAAAAACATAAGAGCAAAATAAAATAGCAATCAATATTCCCTTTATATAAATAAAAGCAGAATACCTTAACTTCCAGAAACTACATGTACAGAGTTATATATACCTAGACTTGTAAAACACTTAAGAGTTTCATCAATAGAGATATTTTTAGATTATTTCAAATAAAAAATATTAAAGGAGTGATGTCTTTTTCAAAAAGTAATAATAGATATATATTCTATAAAATTTTATATTATATAACCATAAATTATAAGTAGGTAGAAAACAAACAATAGGTACTATCTCTCAACTGATAACATTTTTATAATCAGCAAACTATTTAATAACTATTTACTGTGTACCTACTAAGCATCAGGTACTAGATATCAGAAATCAAACAATAAATACTCTCTTTCAAAAATCTGACCAGTTATATTTTTGTAGTGTCTTGAAACAATAATTTTATTTTTATTCCTATTGCCCTTGTTAAGCCTAATATTCTCTTCTGATCTGATTTTATCTGATCCCAAAACTTTTAACCTCCTTCCCTTTTAGTCCGTTTTCCATATTGCTGGGCCTTCTTTTCTTACAAGATATATCTTGCTCTTAAGGGAGAAATATTGATGTTTTTCATGGCCTGTTGAATGTTGTGAAAATTCTTCATTGTCATAATCCTTCAAACTGTTCATAAATATCTTAAAGAAAATATATAGCATCATTTTCCCCTCAATTTTACCAGTTACTCCAAACTCCATTCAAATTAGACTATGCTGCCTTCCACCAGATCATTACACATTTCCAAGAGTCTGCCTTCATTTCCATGTTACTTTATTCTGAAATCCTAACCTTTTGTGTATTCCTCTTCTAGAGTTATGGTGACTTTTGTGTATGACTTTACCAGGGGTATGTTGATCTTTGTTCTTTACCCAAATAGAGAGGTGCAGGCTGTGATATTATATTATGATTCACAAGTTAATTATATATGTTAATATTTACAGAGCAGCTGAAAGTGTCAGTAAACTCCAAGTCACCATAATTTAAACAGGATAGAAAATTATTTCACTCAGGTTAAATCCTTGATGTATCATTTCAGAAAGTAACATAATGGCTCTGTTCCACTAAGTCCTCAGGGATTCAGGCTTCTTCCATCTTTTTGCTCAACTGTCATCAATAAATGGCCTGTCTCATAGTCCTAACAGCTATTTAAGTTCCAGCTATTACTTCCACATTTCTCAGCCCAAAGTAAAAATTAACTCCTTCTTTCTGAGGACGCTTCCCAATAATTTTAGACACCCTTTCTGTTTGCATTTAATTGGAAATAATCATATTGCTTCACCTGCAATAAAGACTGTGAATATAGATTTTATTTTAAGAAGATTAAAGCACCTATGTTATGCACACGAACACACATACATATAAAAGTTACATTTATTGAAAATATTACAATTAAATACAATTGAAAATAATACAATTAAAATGAGATTATCAAGGGAGATCCTGGATCTATGGTTTTTATCTCTGCAAACTTCACACTATTACTGTTAGTCATGCCCCCTTTTCAGGAACCATGAATATTTAGAATCTTAGAACAATTTTAAAAAGATAAGACAATAAGAGGTTTGATCATAGACCTTAAGAGATCTTATTGCTAAGCACAGTGGAATTCAGGGTACTATATTGGTTACTTATTTATACATAACAAATTACTACAACCTTAACAACTTCAAACAACACACATTTATTATCTCACAGTTTCTGTGCGTCAGTATTCCAAGCATGGCTTAGCTAGATCATCAAGCTCACAAGACTGCAGTCAGAGTGTTGGCTGGAGTATGTTCTTGTCTAGAGGCCCAACTGGGGAAAGAATCGCTTCCAAGCTTATTCTAGTTATTGGAAGAATTAATTCCTTGTGGTTGTATGATAGAGGACCTTGAAATTTGCTGGCTATTGGCTGAGGACTACGTTTAGGTCCTGGAATATACCTGTAGGTCCTAGAAGACACCTGTAATTCTTTGTCACATGGGCTTCTCAGAAATGGCTGGCTAATTATTTCATCAAGCTCACAAGAACAATCTTAATCTCCAGTCTGCTAAAATGGAATCTTGGATAACATAACACAATTATGGAAGTGACATCCCATCACTTTTGCTAGATTCTATTAGTTATAAATAAGTCATATTTTTTTCCTTACACTCAATGGGTGGGCATTACACAATGACATAAAAACTAGGAAGTAGGATTCACTGGGTGTCACCTTAGCACCTGTTTGCCACAAGTATGAATATTTCTGCTACTGGAGTACTAAATAGTCTACATATGAGTAAAACTGCTATATCTGTTTAAATATTTAACTAAAGAAATTCTTCATAATTTAAATTCCTTTCCATAATCATGGATGGCAGATAGGGTTTTACCAAGTAAAATTTTTCCTGTGACTGTTACTCTCACCTCTAATTGAAAATATTTATGCTTGGATTGTGCATTCTATATTTCCTTTTTGCATATTATAATATTCAGAATGAAATATAGGAACTACTACTTTCTCAATGTTAAGTTTCATAAAATCAAAAACATAACCAAAATTAGACAGATCCCAGAGATCAAAGAAGGTCAAGGTAAGACATTTTTATGAAAGGGAGTACATTTTATCAGTGAATGCAAAGCAATTCAGAATGACATATAGAAATAATACTCAAGGTGATGGATATAGCCTGACTTGATCATTGTACATTCTTTGCATGTAAAAAGCAATCACATATACCCCATAAATATATAAAATATCATCTATCTTCCATATAGATTTTTGTTATCTATTTCTTTTAGTTCTGCTCTGATTTTTGTTATTTCTTTTCTTCTGCTGGATTTGGAGTTGGTTTGCTCATCCTTTTCCAGTTCTTTGAGATGATTCATTAGATTATTGATTTATGATCTTTCTGTCTTTTTCATGTAGGTATTTGAGGATATAAATTTTTCCTCTCAGGAATGCTTTAGCTGTGTCCTACATACTCTGATAACTTCTGTCTCCTTTATCATTTAGTTCAAAGAATCTTTTGACTTACATCTTAATTTCCTCCTTAACCTAATAATTGTTTGGCAGAAGGTTGTTTAGTTTCCATTACTTTGTGTGGACATGAGCTGGACTTGATTTTTTGAGACATGTTTTGTGGCCTAGGATATGGTCAATTTTAGAGAATGTCCCATAAGCTGGTCTGCAAAACATGTATTCATTGGTTTTTGGATAGAATGATCTGTAAATGTCTGTCAGGCCCATTTATTCTAGAGTTCTATTTAAGTCCATTGTTTCTGTATTTATTTTCTGTTTAGAGGATCTGTCTTGTTCTGTCAGAACCGTGTTGAGGTCCTCAGCTATTACAGTGCTGCTCTTTATCATTGTATATAGATCAAGCACGCTTTGCTTTATGAATCTGGGTGCACCTGAG